GATGGCAGAATCATGACAGGCTTCCAGATGCTCCTCAAGGGGACATTAAAACATGGGACATGACAGACTGTGACACACACGAACCAACAATACATGACAAAAACTAACAAAGACATACAAGAAAAATCAACAGGGTTGGGATGGAACAATAAACATGGTAGAGGAGGTGGAGGAATAACAGAGTTCATAGGGGGTGGTCCAGGGTGGATGGGTGTGCTGGGGGTCCTAGGTCCATGGCATAATGGCAAGGAACGTGTAATCCGGGCAGGTTTGGAGGAAGACTCACAAGGACGGGACTTGGGCGAAACAGTCTGGGGTGTCGTGGTGACAGGGGGAACAGTCCGGGGATGAGACATGACAGACGAGACAGGGGAAACAAATGGATGACCGGAGACAGCGGGGACTGCAACAGCAGGTAGTGGAACGGAGACAAGGGGATTATCAGACAGGGGCAGTGGGACAGGAACAGTGCTCCCAGAGGTAGAGCAAGAATCAACGCTCCACAACTCTGAGTCGGTGACTGCCATAGGCTCTGGAACTGCACCCCTCGCGGCTGCAGGCTCGGGTGCAGCGCTCTCTGCGGCAGGCTCGGGAACTGAGGACAAGACAGGATGGACAGGGACTTCGAGGACCTTTTCTAGACATGACAAATAATCAGACAGGGCCCTGGCAGCAATGATAACGGGCATTTCATGTTGTGACGAAACAGACTGCAGAATTGCATCAGCCGTGGCTCACAGCAGGCATCCCTGTAACAGACTTCACCCTCTCAACCTCAGGAATCATGCTTCCAGCAGCAGGTACAGGACAAGCGCTCTCAGTTGCTGCCTCAGGAACAGCGGTCACGGTTGCAGACTCTGAAACAACGCTTACTGCTGCAGCCTCAGGAACTGCGGTCACGGCTGCAGATTCAGGAACAGTGCTTACAGTTGCAGCCTCAGGAACAACGGTCGTGGCTGCAGACTCAGGAACAGTGCTTACAGTTGCAGCCTCAGGAAGAGCGGTCATGGCTGCAGATTCAGGAACAGCGCTTACAATCGCAGCTCCATTAACAGCAGTCGCGGCAGCAGACTCAGGAGAAGATGGCGATTGGAAACAGGAAGCTCCCCTCCTTCTCCTCGGCCGTGGGGCAATGGTCACCACAACAGGGCTCACGATTGGCTGGCCAGGCTCAACGGAAGACGAAACGGGGACAGGGAAGACCACTTCTGGTTGGGTGAGCTCAGATGACGATGAGTCCGAGGGGGAATCCCAAGAAATCCATTTCCCTCATTTACCACAGAGGTCTGCGGGTGTGGAAGATGCCTCTTGAGTCGAAACGAGGGGAGCCTGGTTCTCTTGCGTGACCACCGCTAATACACGACCCTCAGGAATCATTGGCAGCGTGTGGGTTGAAGATGACATGGTGGGAGCCTGAGAATCCTTCCTCGACAAGCAGGCCACCATATCCGGGAACGGGCGGCGAACCAGACTTTCCGGTTCAGCCAGAGGAGGCAGAACGATTTACCAGAATCTCAGGCAAGAAGAACTGTCTCTCCTCCACCACCCGAGCATACTGTCTCAAGGTCCGCTCACCCTGGGAAGGAAACGGAAGCTTTCCATTCCTGGAATCGGAAATCGGCTCCTGCCACCAATGTACAAGATCGTCAGGCATACTGTCTGCTGGGTTCAGTTGTGGTTGGTTCATTCTCTTATGTGGATGCAGGTGATGAACCCAAACGCAGGCAGAATGCGATGAACGCAAGGTTTATTGGTGACAAACAGGAAGACAAAACCCACGAGGGGGCAAAGAAGACAAAACAAACGGGAGGTAACTAAATTAGAAAACACTTGACAAGACGATTAACTAACAGCAAAAACAAGATCAAGACGTTCTTCAAAGACAAGGTATTCATGAGTAGACACTCACAAAGAGAAAAATAAATAAATAAATAATAATATATATATATATATATATATATATATAAGATATATATATATATATATATATATATATATATATATATTGTGTGTGTGTGTGTATGCTGACATTAAAAATGTTGGCTGACACTGGATGATGTGGATATTAAAGTTAGTGTTAAAAGCTTTTATATGCTTTGGATTGATCAGGTTTTTTTCAAGCTAAGTGGAGAGTCTGCCTTCTGAAAGTAGGTTGAGAGCTACCAGGAAGTGCAAAGTCTCGAATGAATATTTAACAGTGAGAGATTACAGCTCGACAGAATGATGTTTATGACGCTCATGTAGATTTGAGCCTCTCAGCTTTACTAACAGATCAGCAGCTTAGTTGAAGATACATTTCACCAATCAAACCGTTAAAATGAGATGTAGAATGTGTTGAGACCTCCAGTTTAAATTTGTCTGCTTTGTATTTACTAATTTAGTACAAATTATTTTAACAATACAATTTGTGTTTAATTAAGAAATGAACATGAATGTTTCTTTTTCTTTAATGAAAGCAGCACTCAAACTGCATGAACTCCTCAAGATTGTGTACAAACCTGATCATCATGTTGTCAGGCATGATTTAAGAATGATCCAAAGAACATCTTGTGCTTCAATGGAAGTAAGAACATCTGACCATCTGTACAAAGTTCACATGGTCAATACCACAAATTTGATCTATAAATGATGCATTGATATATATATATATACAGTTCCATTTCCTTGAACCTCTTTGTCACTAGGCTGGTCCATTTCCTCAACACAAACAAAAACATTTCAATAATTAATTAAAAATTTTACTTTAACAATGTTAGTTATGTTTTTAACATTATATTTTAACCAAATAGGATTAGACCTAATAGATTTTTAATGGGTTTTAGTGTTTTAACCTTGTTTGACTTGTGTACAAGGCCCTATTTGGTCTCAGACCCAAATATATTGACCTTTTACACCCTGACTCTCCAACTAGAGCACTCAGGTCTTCTGACCAAAACCATGCGTTTTCGGCAAAAGGTCCGAAATTATGTAATAGTCTTCCTTTCCATTTGAGGTCATCTTCATCACTTTTCATTTTTCATTTATGTCTTCTTTTAAAACATCTCTGTTTTATTTGGCTTTTGATTAGATGAAATGGGTTTTTGAAGCTAACAGAATATGATGATGTACTTAAATGCGTTTATTTAGTCTTGCTTGATTTGTGAAGCACTTCAACTTCTTTTGTTTTTAAATGTGCTATAAAAATGGTTGACTTGACTTAAGCCAAATAATAAAGCCTGCGCACTCACTGACTGAGTACAATGACAAATAAAGATATTAAAACAAACTAATACAGCAATGTTTTTTTTTATTTTTTTTAATTTATTGATTAATGCAAAAGTTCAATCTATAAGAATCACGTGTGGCATAAATTCTGGCCATCGTGGCAGAAAATGCATGGCATGCATCCTTATCAGAAAATTTGATTTAATGATCTGAGAGTACAAGTGTACACTCTTCTCTTTTTTCAGCATTTGACACTGCTCATGTCTGTGGTTTACTGTTTCCGTCTCACAAACTCTTGCTACAGAGTTTGTAAAGAACTGCATGGTCAACCAGATCCTTTAGTACAACAGAAAATAGGTCACAACTTTCAAAGCCACTTCTCAATCTTGCAATATCAAAGTAATTCTTTTTTTTTCTTGAGCAATTCAAAGGGTAAGAGCTGCAGTAATTGTTGCTGTTGTCAATCACATTTGAAAGCCACTTCTCAATCTTGCAATATCAAAGTAATTCTTTTTTTTCTTGAGCAATTCAAAGGGTAAGAGCTGCAGTAATTGTTGCTGTTGTCAATCACATTTGAAAACATCTGACTTTCGGTTTACACACTATTGTAAGAGGGGGACATGAATGCAGTGTCTGTGCTATTTAAATCGAAATATTTCTAATAAATCTAAATAAATGATCCTCTTTCAGCAGTTCATTAACATGACTTTGGAGTATTTCAGGGACACAAGAAGTTGGCAGACCATTTTTGCCGTTATGAACGTGTGGCAGATTAATGTCTTTTGTATGCATATTGTAATTTTTTTTTCTCTCATCAGAACAGTAAAAAATAAAAAATAAAAACGTTATGCAAACAAAAGGCATTTAATCATTTGTATTTTCTTTATAGAAATGTACATTACATTTGTTGTTTTAAGAAATTGTATATATATTTTTTTGTATCATTTGATCAGTTTATAGAAAATATTGTCTTTATTATGTTAAAAATCAATATTGGATGTTCTTTCTCCTACTTTTATGTTTAGATTACCATTGGCGTTGCCATCGTCTAACACTCAAAAGTTAATAACAATTAAAAATAATTTATCATACACTGTATCAACTATTTATAAATATTAAAGTTTGATTCAGTATTTATTGTTTTTATTTTGTTATATTTTATTAAATATTTTAATATTGTCCATAACACGAAAAAAATGATCAGCTTATCCAACCAGATCACTTAAGTCAATTTAATTGCGTCACTTCTTTACATTGCAAAATTAAGCATTTGATACAATGTACTAGTTCACCTGTCACTTGTTTGAAGCTAGTCACATTGTTAATTTTCCTGTTTTTCTTTTATTATGTAGATAATTATGCATTATTGGGCTAATGTAGATCATGTTAATATCAACACACTTCAGTATTTCAAAAAAGATTTCAAAAATGAAACACTGAAGTTTGTTGTTGGATTGTCACCATTGAAAATATCGGAAGAACCAGTAAGGCACTTTAGTGAAATAACTTCACGAATTGTTGGCCAGGAAATAACTGAAAAAAGTAAAAAGCAACTGTGAGAACAAAATGTTCTATAACCTTCAGCCTATTTGGTGACTGGTGAAATCAATGTTGTGCATCATAGCACACCACAACATTTGCATAACCTCAAGTCTCTGAAACTGGAGTTCAACAGTAAAATGCTATATCTATAGAATCAGACAAAAAAATTATCATAAAACACTTTTTTTTTCTAAAACATATTTATTTATCTTAAAAAAGCCAATACAGATCTGAAGGTTTTTTTTAGAACTGTAACACACTGGGTTAATCTCAATTTCAACATTGTGTTAACAATGACTGTAAATCAACACTATACAATTTTAAAAAGAAAAGAAAAAACTGGATTCACAAAATGAACAACTCTTAGAACAGGGGCAGCAGAGAGAAGACTATCGCGATAATGTGAAACATGGAAGTTTGTTGGCTTTAGCGTGAATAAAAAAAAAATAGCACAAAACATTGAACAACAGAAAAATGGGAGACAGAAAAGGAAAAAGCCCCAGTTAAAATACCATGAAAGACACTTTTTTTTCATGGAAATTGAGTGTAGGTTTAGAGGGACATTTGCAGAGATTCAACTGAAATAAATTCAAAGAATTCAATTCTTAGATTTTATAAATCACAAGCTGTAAAAGTTTGAAAAGAATTGGCATGTGAAGTTTCAATATTTACCTCAAATCAAAATCTAGTTTACTTGGTTTAATAACCTTGTCATTTGAGAACTCGTTGGGAAAAACATAATAGTGTATGACTATTATGCGTATAGACGTGCCATCAAAAACCATCACCATTCCATCAATTATTTCAATTTAAGAAATTCAAAATGGTGGAGTCAACAGTCATGTCTTCTTAAACGTATAACTGACTAATTTTAAGGCAATCGGGCCTAGTTAAAACAAGGAGTCAAACGATTTCAAAATATCTTAATGAAATTAATTACTGACGTCACATTGATGTTTAGTTATGCAAAACATCAAATGCATGCCAAGTGAGATGAGAGCAGACGACAAAAGCAATACCGACGTCGCTGATAATAAAGTGAAAATACTGTAGCTAGCCGTAAATGTCAAGCTGGTAGGCTCCCCAGATTTTGCAGCAAAATTTTGAGTTTTAGAGATTGTGGCACAAACTATAACGTTGGGTACTAGTCGAACTGAGCTGATCTATCTATGTAAACACTATTAACGATTTTCTGATACAGAAAAAAATACTGTTGACAAGTAAGGAATGAGAGGGAGTCATGTCTATCATGAAATGATAGACCCCCCACCCTCCCTCTCCCTCTCATCACTCCAGAAGATCAAATCAATACGCTGTTGAATTTGTGAAGAATATCACGAAATAAATGTCTTATTTAAAATGGGAACCTGCAGTATTGATCATTCAGTTGCAGTTATTTCAGATGTCATGGTTTATTCATTAATGTTTGCTCTAGTTCAGATATATATCACTATTAATGAAGACAGAAGCAGCACTAATGTCCTCCAGGCTCTGCCCAAGAGAAAATTAGCTCCAAGTGAAAAAGACTAATAAAATACTCTCTTTAATTTTACCAGCGGCTGATAAAGAAATATGTAATAAAGTACTTTTTCCTCACTTCTTCTGTAAAACTGAAGTCACCTTTCTTGGCATTTTGAGACTTAAAATATCATCTTAGATGCATACAAAAAGACTTTAAGCAATAAAAACAAGTTTATATTATGGGTAGCAACATGTAAAATAAAATCACAACTCTGCAGAGAAGACGGAAAATACAGAATTTGCATAGCAGATTAGAATACAACTGAGAAGGAACTGCATTTTTTGGTACAATATGGTGTCGTCACGTAGCTTTTGATGTATGTACAGCGTAAAATTCCTTTCATGCCAATACATAAAAGCAGAAATGGATTTAGAGTCCGTCACTATAATGCTTGCAGAGGAAATGCCAAGCATCTCATTTGCTTCTCGTCACGCCATTACAGACGAGACGTGTCATTTCAAAGGTTGAGTAGAAGTCTCTTACAGGAAAACTAGTAGATACTGTTTCGAAAGTGCCATCTTGCTACATTTGATCAGCTGATTCCATGGTCTGTTCGTGAAAGTTTAACACCAACATGTTGAACATCCCGATAGCTTTCAGATACTGTGAGTTTTGGTCACATCACATTCTCTCGTACACACACACATACACACAAAAGGGGACCTGAACTGTGCAGGTAAAGGTGTAGAAGAGGTACAAAAAAAGAAAAAAAAAAACACTCCAGAGGTTTTAATCAATGTTCCACATTCCAGCAGCGGGTAAAGCTTTGAAATGAACAAGCACCATTTGGAAAAGGCCTCCGAAGTCCTCCATTTTGGGAGAGTGAGTTTAAAACTACATTCAGACTGGCAAAAAGTCTCAGTGGCTGAAATGTTCGTTTTGGGTTTTGCTTTCTTGTCTTTCTGACAAGCCGTTTCAAGGCAAAAAGCAGCCCTCGGTAGCAGCCTTTCTGGAGGCATCTCCATTTGAAGGGGAGGCCCTTCCTCAACTCCCGTGTTTGTAATGAGTCCCAAGGGTGTGTTCACAAGTCCTCACCGCCTCTGGTGTGCGTAGACTGGGTATGCTAACGTGACATTCAAAGAGTCATTGTGCTGAACCAGAGATGTGTGCTGGTAGTGCAAGACCAGTTCTTTTAGAGAGCTGTAAAGGTTGTAGGGCTCAGCGAAGCCATATCCTGTTGGTGTCTTGTTGATGACGCAGTGCTTGACCTCACCATCCACACTGTGAGAAGACAAAGAGATGGTTTTAGTCATCATTGCCTTTTGAAATTTCCCTTTTCAACAACTCTCATAGTCTCAGCTTAGTAGTCAATGAATTGAAAAGAATGTCAATAATAACAACCAACATATGTTCTCTCCAATAATTAGGTTAAAAAAAAGCCTCAACATCAAACAAGCTAAAAAAAAGTGATACATACACAACACTGCAGGCGTAACATCCAGGTTTGCTGCTGTCCCTGACCAGGAATGTTCCATCTCTCTTGCCCCGCAGAAGAGCCTCAGCCTGGTTGCGGTTAATGTTACCCAGCTTCCAGGCGCGTTCATCATGGTGTGGCAAATCCTCATCATCATCCACCATTGAGTACTGACTGTAGGAAAGAAGTGAAAAGTTACATTTTTGAACGCAGGAAGACTTGAATATAAAACAGCTATAATGTGATAAGAATACTTACTCGTCCAGGTTTTCATTTTTGATTCCCAACCATTCATTGAGTTTCTTCTGTCTGACCCCTTTCTGTGTCAACCACCTGTGCAGAAACAGAAATCATAATGAATACAATGAATCCTGTGTGTTATATTTGAAGTGCAGAAACTATAGATGAGATACTTACATGAGGTACTGATCCCTGGTCTTTCTGAGCTGGATGAGATCAGGCTTAATGCTGTTCATCCGCTTGTCAATCTCTCTGTAGTCCGCCGCCTGCTTCTTCAGATCTTCCTCAAGACGTCGCTTGCTATCCACAATTTCACTGATACGCGATTTCAACTTCTCATAGTTGACCATGATCCTGCAATGAAACATTGCAGAGATGTTGCATTACATTTCTAAAAATGTTCTCCAAAGACTACTTTAGAGGTTTTCAGCTTCAGAACTCACCTTTGGATTTCCTTCTCGTTGCCTTCTCTTCTAAACTTCTCAATATATTCTTTGCTGTATCGTTCTTGCGTCTGGCACTGCTCTTCAAATATTTTTATGGTCTCATTAAAAGCTTCAATAGCAGTCCTTTTCATTTGTATTTCCTAGTGAGCAGACAAAAACCATGTCAGAATGTACACACTTTATCAAGCTCTGAGATTGCTTTACTGAAATGCATATAGTCAAGTCATCAAATATATTTAGGCAAACCTGTGATGTTCTAGTGTATTCCTCATAGAGTCTGTCATACTCTTTGTTCTTTTCTTGGTACTGCTGGTGGTATTCGTGCAACTTTTTCCCAACAGCTTCAATGTTATCCTCCTTTACCACTTGATCCTATTAATAATTAAATAAACATATCCAATAAAATGTTTGTTATAAACTAGATGATCCAGAGTAAAGTTCTGCAGGAGGAAACTCCATTACCTGTTGGTGCTTAGATACAGGATACAGTAGCTTCACATCTAGTTTGGGGTTGTACTGGGCAAGAGACTCGTGCCGATAGTGGTTGATCAACTCAACCACAGAGTTGAAAGTCAGGGGGTCTGAGAAGCCGTATTTCCCATCCCGGTGGAAGATTTTGATTAGCTTGTTGTTGCCTCCCTTCCTGTATGGTCAATGAAAATAAGGATTTAGAGCAATCCTTAAAGTTGGCAATGTCAAGGCAAGCACCCTAAATAAAAAGAAATTCAGAGACACACTAGGGTTTACAAAGGAGAATGTACCTCAGTGTGAGCGTGTAATCCCCATGCATTTTAGTGGAGGCATCTCGAACCAAAAAAGTACCATCAGCAGTGTCCCTAAGCTTTTCGTTGACCTCCTCCCTGCAACAGAAAGAGGTTCAAACTATTACAAGAAGGAAAATTATTTATTAATAATAATAATAAAATCATGCTTCTGACCAAACACTAGGTTTGATGAGTACTTGCCTGGAGATGTCCCCCCAGTACCATTCAGCATCTTGCAGAGCCATGTTGTTGTTCATACCGTTGTTAGTGACAGACGTTGGTTTGGGTGGCTTGGGAGGTAGTGCTGTAAAGAGAAAAGAGAGAAACTGATTGAGAACTTAATTGCTGATGAACTAGCAGCACTCAAGGTCATTTACATATAAAACGTGCAGTCATGCCAAAATATCCTGACATTTCTGTGTTTTCAATATGAAAATACAAAAAAAAAAAAAAAAAAAAAAAAAAAACAGTCCAACCTAAGAATGCTAATCTTCCGAAGAAAAATGAAAACCCTCAAAACATCCTTTGTGTTGAAAGTGATGCAGGTTTCCTTTCAATGTGACAGTCATGTATTAAAAGCATGACACAGTTACTGCAGTTTCCCAGATCTCTTGCCTCCTCCCCTCCCAGTGTCTTCCATTTCATTAAATGCAGCTGAACACATGCCTCTTGAGCGCTCAGCAGGGAGTCGGACTCTTGACTCAGGGAGAATGCATTTCATTTCCCCTTCAAAAAAACCCCCTAATTTCATCACCATTTCCTGATCTGCTCAGTATTATACCACATAATCTATTCGTGAGATTCACCGAATAATTCAGGGAATAATTTGGATTTTAAATCAGTTATTTGATGCATCATTTCACTTTTACAACAAGTGTTTCTGAACTGAATTAACACTGTTTCTAGAAGCAACACTGGACAGCAAGATACAAGATTAAACACACTAATAGGTTTTTCAAAGCAATGCATTGTGCACAATCATGCAAGAATCCTCAACCATTGAGAACATGTTGCTTCGCTGGATAGAGGCAGAGAATGCATTTGATTGGCTGCTAGGCCGTGTGACGGGAAGCAGCGGGGGCAGTGCAGTCTCCGTGGAGCATGAGGCAGAGCTGAAGCGGTGGGCTATTTTTAGCTTCCAACCAACCAACCCCCCCCCCCCCCCCCCCCCCCCATATACCATATCATGCACACTCACTGTCTCTTCGTTTGTTCACTTCAGTCACTATCATCGCTAAGCGTTTTCTGCTTAGTGCAATCACAGGGTATAAAACTCGGAGACAAAGATATTAAAACAGATACAAGAATCTAACCAACAAATCATATCATGCTTTGTGGTACCTCCATTAAAACATACACAATATTCTGCCTAGTGCAATCACATGGTATAAAACTCGCAGACAAAGATATTAAAACAGATACAAGAATCTAAACAACAAATCATACCATGCTTTGTGATACCTCTATTAAAACATACACAATATTCCACACAACGACTAATGTATCTGTTACAATAAGAAATCATCAAACGGTAAACCCAATTTGAGACCAACAAATGCATCCAAGACCACAGACAGAGATGTCACCAATCCCATTTAGACTTATGAATGACATTTGTAACGCACCAACTTCAACAGTTACCTGGCGCGTCTATTTCTATGTAAAACAGGAGGTCTGATCCAGATCCTGATCCAGTGTCAAGTCGTGGACTCTCTAAATCCGCCATGCCTAATGATGTGTTGCATATCTGGAAGGATACGCATGCAGTTCCTTTGCAAACCTCCTTTTGAATGTATACTATAAATCCAGGTTCTTCGCACTCATCAGTTTGAGACCAATTTTTGAATAGCCTTGGAGAGTGGGGTCAGTGAAAGCCATTACATCACTTACCCCAGCCAATGGTGCTGCAGGACTGTTGCTGGCCACTCCTGCCTCATCACCTGCCTCTATTTCTTCCAAGTCGTAAGTGCAATGATGTCATTGCAACAGTGCTTTGTCTGTTCTAAAGTCGACAACGAAGCGCATCAAAAGAAAGCTGTATCTGCTCTTTTTTGTGTGATCCAGCGATATCCTTTATCCGTGGGGAACAAGTGTTCTCAAAGCCGTTTTGATGCTGCCAAACAGAGGGAGTTATATCACAGACAAGGTGCACTGCAGCACAGCGTCTTTCGAATGAGAAAAAGAACTGAAGCTTTACGGTCTTTCTCCGTCACCCCCTCCCTTCCTGTATCTGTGATGCAGCTTTGCTAAGCCCCGCCTCACTGAGCATAAGCATTCAGCACGGCCTCTCTGCTGGTAGGCAGACAAAATCGCTGCTGCAGAGGCACGTAAGCAGTCCCTACGTCAAAGACAAGGCCAGGTCAGGAGGCAGGCACGGCTTGCAAATACTTCTTATAATCCCCACATGCAACTCACAGAGGACTGTAGGAGGGTAGATCAGCTATACAAGCTTGAGAGGGTATCTGAAATAGCCACATTTCTCAGTAGGGTTAAAATGGTCACAGGAACGTGGGCTATTGTCATGCTTGGTACTCTAATGACAGGTCAAAAAGGCACTTCAGCTGAGGGGCTTAACAGGGGCTCACTTGGACAGATTACTGGGAAATAAATTAAAACATCAATTTTTAATTTTAGTGGACTTTAAAGTGTTTTTAGAGGATTTTAAAGTAATTCTATACCCTAACTTTTATTGGAGCCGATGAATAATGCAACACATTCACCTTCGCATGCTCAGACATGCCAGTGTCAGTCAAACAAGTTAACCCACTTTTCGTAGCAGGTCGCACTCCGAGTGCTAGTCTTGATAAACACAAGTATCAAGTACACACTCATACAGAAGAGTAGCACTGATATTCAAGACTGGAAGAGCTAGAACAGGACACAAAATAGGACCTTCTAAAAGAACCACTATCATGCGCTATGAAAAACAAAGTAACTCCCAGAAGTGATGACATACTGCTTTAGTTTGATACATTTTCTGTCTACCTAACTGCTTTTGATAAAAGTAACCCAATCATTACACCAAACTTCCTGAGACACCAAAACCACACACTTACATTGCAAGTTGTGCATGTTCAGCAGAAGTCAAGCAGCCTTTAGTTCAGCAAGTCTGTCTGGTAAGCATTACTCGTGATTCTTGGTAAATCCAAAAAGATGGTACTCTTGTGGTCTTGAAAATTTTTCCCACTTGACTGGTGCAGGAGTCTCAAAATCACTGCAGCAGTCTGAAGAAATCCAGCACAATCCGAGTTGGAAAAGAAAAGAGTTGGTGTGAAGGGTTGCTAAAGAAGGTCTGAGAGGGGTGGAGAATGACGCCTGCTCCAGGACTGCTAGGTAAATGATTGGTGGGGTCGCACTGCTGCTAACTGACTCTCTCTCTCTCTCTGCTCATTCACTCTCCCTGGCTTCAAGGGTTCAGTCTCATGATTAACTCGCTCAGGTTCAAATATTTGCTGAGCTGTGCACCCGTATGTTTTGGGAGGGGAATGTGGCACAGGCCGGAGGGGGCTAAGGGGTGGAGTAAAGTCCTCGGAAGTGATCGTTGAAAGTGTGTGTGTGTTAGAATGCCTGCAAGACAGAACAGCCGCCGCAAACTAACAAGAGAGCTCTGTGGAGCAGACCGCACTTGAAGCCAGCCCAATTCCATGTGGGCCTTTTGCCACCTGCTTAAATTAGCCACCTAGTAACATGTGCACACACGCATCCACACACTCACATTAACACACACATCAACAGCTACACACTGCCACATGTGCAGGAATCAAGTATGGGCAGGTTGGTAAGGCAACAAGAAACCGTAAAAGGTGGCACTTGTGTGACCCATGTTTGTGTAAAAGCTTGTACAGGAAGAAACTGAGCTGCCCAAGCAGTAAGGAGGCAAGTGTGCTTTTGAGTCTGGACTCGTCTCGCCCAACCCAGCCTCCTGCAGGTGCAAATTACTGACAGCTGAGCTTGCTCCATGCCAGGGTAAGGTATAAATAGGCCCCAACAGGTAATAAAACATTTAAACGGTCACACAGCCAGACTTGGGATAGAGATTGACAGATAAAGACAGGGAGAGAAGCAGGGAGAGAGACTTTACTAGTGCTATAAAAGCCCAACTAGACAACTGGTCTGTGTTCAGGGCAGCGTGCGTACACACACACAAATACAAACACACAGTCCGACACAGCAGAAGTGTCTATGTGGTCTGTCCCATCTCTAAATTAATCTGACCCAGAAAAGCGAGGGAGTGGAAAACAAATTTTTCGACAAAGCACTTTTTTCGCCAAAGGTACCTTTCCCTATAGAGCATGGGAAACTACGTCATGGCGCGTTGCACTCTGGGTAGCGGTGGTCATATTTTATGAGACGGTTGTCGTAACTAAGGTAAACAAACACACATGGACAGTGCGAAGATCAAGCACAAGGTTATCTACCGAGATGACCTGAAATAGGAAGCAAAGGAGCGCTACTTAGAGAAAATAAAGGCAATTAACGGGCTCGATCCGTACGAACACAAAGAGTGGTCGACTGCTCTGAACAAGCTACCGCAAACAACATTTCCTGACGTGTTTTCTTACCTTGTTTTTGGTGTGAGCGCATACACATTTGAACCAGACATGCCTCTCTGTCACCAACAACAACACTGCAAGTAAACTCTGCGTCATATATATTTTCTTTTTTACTTAGGCAACATTTTAGTTAAGTTGTTTACTTTTACTAAATGTAATTTCCAGGCGAAATTAAAAATCCCACAATGCCTTGCGTTTCTGGGATCCGCTGACGTCACGTTCCTGTGGTCTATTGTTGCCATCTACTCCAATACATAATTAAATGTGCAAGTGTGAAAACGGTGCTTATTTGGACAACACTGGTTTGAATCCCATTGCCTAAACTGTATGCAAAGCTTTAGAGAAATGTTTCTCAACCCTTTTGACTCCATGACCCGGCATTATTCAAATAAGACATCAATTAAATGTTGTACTTTTGTCTTTTTTCTCGCCAGCATTAAGATTTTTAAAGGGTCACTTCACCCATTTGCATTAAGCTTTGTATCTTTAGAAACCCAGTCATATTTTTGAATAGTCATGGTTTATTCCCTTATTTCCCCCTGACATGGGAGAAATAAGGATTTAAGTGTTTTACTTCCTGCTTATAGAGCTGTTAAGTCCCACCCCTTCCGCTAACCCCCTTGGACCTCTAGGTTGAAAAATCATCAATGCAAGTGAATGAGAGAAAATAATTATTTTCTAATCCCGTTTGAATTTTGCAATGAATGTGAACATATGTTGTCTGTGAATTTTTTATATAATTTCTCAACGATTTTGACAGTTTATTGTTCTTTGGCTAGTAGTTGTGGAATAGACATAATGAGAAAGACTACACGTCGCATATGTAACATCAACACAACACATTTTATATAATTTTTCGTGTAAAGAAAGCTACAATTTAGCAGGTAGAATTTGCATACGGTTAGACTTTGTGTGAGAGCACTTTGTGGACTACAACTCTTCCTGCTTTCGACGCGTTTGATATACGTCACCACCACTACAAACCATTGTTTGAATGGTGACATTTGGGTACAAAACACACAAGCATCTCGATCTAATTCCTAAGATTATCGCACCGTGATTTGTGGAGGGAAAATGTGTTATGTGTTGACGTTACGCGACGTGTAGTCTTTCTCATTATGTCTATTCCACAACTACTAGCCAAAGAATCATACAATAAACTGTCAAAATCGTTACATGAGAAATTATATAAAAAATTCACATACAACATATGATCACATTCATGGCACAATTCAAAAGTGATCAGAAAATAATAATTTTCTCTCATTCACTTGCATTGACGCTTTTTCAACCTAGAGGTCCACTTGGAGTTTTATGGATGGGTGGAACTTACCAGCTCTATCATGACGTAAAAATCGTCATTTTGCGTCACGATAAGCAGGAAGTCTTATTTCATTAAAATCTGTATTGACTACAAACATTAGCTCATTATTATTCAAGGTGTAGGACCCACTCACCCTACAAGCCTATTACAGATCAGTGGGTGGGACTTCACTTGCAGAAACTGAAATCAATATCCATCTTCTTGTTTGGAACCTAAGCTAACAAGCGCTAAGGAGATAGTAAGTTATGTCAATGACGGAAGAAACTAAACATGATATGGAAGAAGAGGATTTTGACGTTCTGCTGGTGGCTATCTTTACGAGCCGCAGTATAGTGAAGAGCAGCTGTAACTGATTGAGGAACAGGAGGCGGCAGCCTGTCGGTCGAGGACCCCGGACTGGGTCGAGCAAGGCGGACTGCTGTTGCCTGTGCTCTCGCTGCGTGCTACGGCCTACGGACACATGGTCCGTCTGCTGCAGAGAATTTCAACGATGGCAATTTCTCCTGGAGGAAATATCTGAATCAGACTAGCACAATGACGTTTGTGTTGAGATAGTTTCGCCTGACAGAACATCAAGGTATCATGCAGTAATTCCCCATAAAGAAATAAATACAAACGGGGAGTAATTCACTAATGTGTTTGCCAATGTAACGTTAACAGGGTTTGTTGTTGTGGAAAGGAGGAGGCGGGAACCAGCGAACATTTAAACATTTTAATAGTATAATGAACAAATACAAAATGAAAGTATAAGCCAGCAGCCTCTCATTGACTGCTGTAACGTTACACACAACAGAAACAAAACGACTTAAAATCAGGCCTGTTTCTCTCTCGATCTGCCGTTGTCGATGCTCATTTTATGCTTTCGCTCCTCCGTGAGAGACGCGAGACCGGCGCGCGCCTCACAGGTGTCTTTCGTTATTACTCATGCCACCGGCCTCCTCTTACATCCCTCGCCCTCGATTGTTCCTGTTCGTCACAGCCAACTAACTAGACATTTTGTGTGAAATGAATTTCAAACTCTAGTGACAGCTAATGTTAGCCTTGTAGACGGAAGAGTGAATTCTCTATTTGCGCTGTTCCGGATTAGTGGGTGTGGCTTGCGGAGCTGTGCAATGCAGTGGATTGTGGGACTTGTAGTTCTTCACACAAATGCAGCCCTTGGTTATTTTCTGTCTTTTCTCAGTCAATACGGTACCAAATTAAAAAAATATTTTACATTTCGACTACATATATGATCCACTTTCAATAAAGATTAATGTTGCAATGGGTGAAATGCTCCTTAAAGATAACTAAATTTAAATAATTTAAAGGTTGGTTGAGAACTGGTTGACTTACCAGGAGCTGCCTGACTGTCACTCCATTCGCTAGTCACCAAGACTTCAATTATCCTGATGTGTGCCTCTGGGCTGGGCTCACAACTGGGAAGGGAAAAAGAAACCGTTTTGTTTTGTTTTTTTTGCTAGCAGGCTAGCTGGCAGTACCATGATTCATTAGCATATGTGTCAGGAAGTACCTGGTGGGCTGATGTCTGAAGAGTGCCGGACTGAAGATCTCAGCTAGGGCCCGAGCACTGAGCAGGTTAGCTGCTGAGGCCTGGCATATACGATAAAAGTGGCGCAACAAACACTGCAGGGTCAGCCAGTACTGGGGGGGAAGTGCAGAGGAGCTGGCCACCAGCCGCAGGTGATGTGCGCATTCGTCTGCACCCTGCACTTCTGAAGTGACACACAGACAGAAGAGTGTAAAACAAGGGCTCTTTAACACCCCCCTAGAAACACTAAAAGTGGCGTCATGTGATAAACATTTATAGTGAGCTAAACATACCAATAATCAGTTAGGCCATATGCAAAAAAAGTGTGGAAAATTGCACTCGTGTGCAACTAACCGCACAAGATCTTAAGCGAGACAATGACAGAGTGAGTAAGGCATTCTGAGAGATGATTGGTTGACAGCCCTGATGTGGCAGATAAGTTTTCAGGTTTGCTTTAGGTCTATTAACCACAGATATCCTGTTTCCAGCCACGTGACTTGACACTACCCAAAAGAGAAGTGCAAAGCAAGAAAAAAAAAAAAAACCAACACTGTTCTCTCTCAAATTCGATACTGAACATTCTGTACATATGCAGAACAAACTTTTGGCAGACACACAGCGAGAGCAGATAAATTCAACGGCCAATACAACACCTGGAATACTTTTCACAGTTTGTGAATTGGCTGGGGTTGGTGGACACAAAATCAGATAAGTGTTGGAACATGTGTACTGATAAAAGTATGTGCTGTGATGATTCAACGATACAATCTTAGTGAGCCTTGTCTGCTGCTTTTAGAAGGTCACGGGACCGTGACACCTTGTGTTACTTTACTACCATTGTAAGAGGCTCACCATCTGCCAAACAAAAATCTTGGGAACAATAGCACCATCCTGTGGCTCTTATAATGAAATGAGATCAATGAAAAATGCATCATTTGGTTTTAATGCCCTTCAAGGGATACTCCACTTTTTTGGAAATAGGCTCTTTTTACCACTCCCCTAGAGTCAAACAGTTGGGTTTTAACGTTTTCAAATCCATTCAGCCGATTTTATAATATTTACAAGAATATCAGTAACCAGACAGTTTCTGGTCTCATTGACTTCCATAGTAGGAAAAAATATACTTTGGAAGATCAGTGTTGGGAGAAACGCATTACAAAAGTAATACATTACAGTAACATATTACTTTTTGCTGTAACACAGTAGTGTAAGTCATTACTAATAAATTTTCAGTAATATTTTACTCGTTACATGTTCAGTCAGGCTTGTATTACAGTTGTATTACAGTGTATTTTACTTCTTAAAGGCAACAGACTATGTGAAAGTTTTAAAGCAGTCTTTTTGTGCCAGTTCAGAGCGGTCGCATCTGTAACATTGTTTTTTCCTCATAAATGCGAACACGAAAACTAAAATGCCAACCCCTCCTCATCCGATTTGCACAGTGTAATTAACAGAATTACAAAAAATATATTTTGCCTCCTATTTTTTTTTGTCACGCATGAATGTGTGTCTTTTCCCTAATATTATATAAATTATAGAAGTAATGCATGTTTATAGTCTTATAATGTCTGTTAACGTTGCAATATATTTACCAGTAGGGCTGCACGATTAATCGAATTTTAATCACGATCACGATTTTGGCTTCCCACGATCAAATTCGCATGATCGAGCAAAATATTTAAAATGCGTCATTCCATTCACAGAACGCTCCATATTTCAAAGGATTATTTTTTTTTTTGCAAAGCCAATCTAGCACTCCGTAAACCACTGTCTGATCACGTGCCTCCACGAGTTCCAGTGCGCAAGAGAGACCGGAGCTGTGTCCCAATGTGAAGGCTGCATCCTCCGAAGGCCGTATTTGAAGGCCGATTGCATCACAGAGTGTGTCTGAGTGCGAGCTACAGTGAACAAGAGAGACGAGTAGGGTTGGGTATCGAGAATCGAGTATCGATTGGAACCGAGACTAACTTTTCGTTTTTCCCGGAATCGTTCAAAAGTTAAAATTTCGATTCCTAGTTTCGATATTCACAGTCCGGCAAGCGGAAGAAGAAACCGCTGAACAACACCAACGAAGAAGCGTCTACCGGAAGTGTTGGCATAACCACGCGAGTCGAACATGAGTAGCTTACGTCGGCGATCCAAAGTGTGGCTTCACTTTTCTAAAAATAACGAAATCTCGGCAAAACGCAAAATTTGTGACAAAAGGAGTATTTTTACAGAAGGAGTATTTCCTTCAGAAAGGCCATTGATTAACAAGGTTAGCTAAACTTTTTTGACCATGCCTCTTAAAAGAATCTGAATCGAGAATCGTTAGGAACCGGAATCGAAACAAGGAATCGGAATCAGAATCGTTCAAATTCAAACGATACCCAACCCTAGAGACGAGTGTCCAAACGCGCTCAATAGTGCGCGAAGGATAGCATCCTCGAAATGAATTCCGGCTTCTGAGGATCCTTCCTTGACATTGAGAAACACCTCGAGTGTATCTGCGTGCGAGCGACACGGACGCGAGAGATACCGGTTGTGTCTGAGACTGAGTGACAGTACGCGTGAGAGACCGAGTGTGAGCATTAGTAAATTGGTACATACATACTACATAGTAATATATAATTACTATATAAGAGGCATGAAAGTTCGATTAATGGACTCCAATAATCAGTAGGCTAATACAAACATCTTGTTTTGAACTATTGTTTAACTATTGTTTAATAAATAGAAATAATTCGACCAGATAAACTTTCATATGGAGGATTAAATAGATTAAAATGTATGCAGGAAGATTTCACAACTAATGACTGACACATTTTACTTTTCTTAAGTGTCAAATAACAACTCTGAATTTCATCCATTAATCGAACTTCCATAGTGGATAGTTCTGCCTTGACATGTTCTCATTTGGTTACATTCTGTTATGGAATATTTGTTTTTTATTGATGATTGTATATTTTGTATAGTTTTATTCACATCCAATATGCAGGTACAATGCAAGTTTATATTTTGCTTCCTAAAATATATTTACACAATGTAAAATGTAAAATAGTGCCCTGTTGAAGTTTTGCTACATTTTATTTATTGTTTTCTCTATTTTTATTTATTCTTTAAAGAGATGCACTGAATTTTGGTGAATGAGAGCACCTGTTTTATTTGAAAGCACATAGTTGTACATTAGCAGGAATGTCGCACAATATGGATGTGAAAGCAGTTATAATTAGCCTATGTGACAATAAAATTAGTTTTGGTTAAAATCAACAAATAAGCGTGATAATTAATCGTGATCTCAATATTGATCAAAATAATCGTGATTATCATTTTGGCCCAAATCGTGCAGCCCTATTTACCAGTATTTTACATTATTTTTGAATGTAATTATAAAATGGTGACACACACCACTCTCTCAACAACGCAAGTTTGACCTGCTGCAAATTATTTTCTGGAAAATAATATAATTGTGCTGTATTGTTTAAAAAAAAAAAAAAACTTTTAGCACCAATAAAACAAGCATATTGTGTTCATTACTCCCACCCACATTAACTTTGGTCACTGTTATTATTATGAGGGGGTCCTAGGAAATGTATCTCCCCTGTAAGAGATCCCAGGCTCCACAAAGTTTGAAAACCCCTTACTAAGAGATGACAACTGAGTGAAACGATTAAAAAAAAAAAAAAAAAATCTTGATAAACAGACTTGATAAACAACATTTCATTTCAGTTTAAACAGTTTAGGAACAAACTGAGAATGGGAAACTAATCCCAGTGTAAATCCAATGATTCACATGGCAATACACATGGCAATTAACATAGATTAATACTACGTCATAGAAATCCCATGAGAGTATAGGGCTGTTGACCTAATGTTGATGTGCAGTAATCCTATGGAAACTCACCTTGAGCGATGCGCATCATCTCAGTGTAAATCATAGGTGGGATGACAGGCTGAGGTAGATCTTGAAGATACCTCCTTAGACCATCACACAACATCTGAAGGTCCATCTGCTCAAGATCCACCATGGCAGGGTCTGATTCACAGAACACAAACATCAGTAAGACAGGAAGGAATGAAGCTAGCACCGTATACTAATCAGCCACAAAGAGACAAACAATACATCTTTTGGACCAAATATTTTTTTCCTAACCAGATTCATGTGATAACCGATTTCGACAGACGTTCAGTTTCTATTTGTAGCATCACTTTGAAAGTGGTGCTCAATGTTACAATGCTAGGTTGTTCTGGGTGGTTGCCAGGGTGTTGATATGTGGTTTCTAAAATAATTCTGAACGGCTGAGAAATTGTATGAGACAAGATGTCACTTTTAATACTTTGGGTTGGAGTATTAGTACAGTTTACTAAGGAATTTAATTTATTGTACTAAGGAAAATTAGTACAGTAGGAATATACAGACATGCTGGATAAAGGCTGTGATTTTGTTCCATTTCGCACTCAGCATGGACAGAACAGTCAACAGTGGCTACAGCAAATGGATTGCATCACTTACCATTATCAAAGCATTGTCTGACATCCAGCCCTCCTCCAGCAGTGAAATTTCTATAGAGAGTAGGGTTGTCTAGACCTGTACAGAATTTAAAAATGCGAATTACATCAGCACAAATAATAAATAAATAATTACGACCAAAAAAAAAAAAATATATATATATATATGCATAAAGGATTCACCTTTCCTTTCGATGGCCTCAAGGAGCTTGAGGAGTAGAAGCGGTGCCATTTCTGGAGGAGTAAACTGCTCAGTCAGGTCTAACAGAGTGCTTGAGGCTAAAGGAAAGAAAGTTAAACAATCATACCAAAAAGGCACCAGGTACCTTTGAACAACTCTACTAGCTTTTCATTAAGCACCAAACATCATAATTTCAAAGCCTCCAAAGAAAACAAGAACTTTAAAGCATGCCCCACAGTCACAGGACGCATAGATCAATAGTCATCTTCATGCATTTATGTGGTGCAGCAAGGAGCACGTTTGGACGGAACATCTAAGTGTGTTTAAGGCTGGTGCTGACCGGTAGGATATGATTAAGTGTGCAATGGAGGTGGACGAGAAGGATAAAGTAAACAGACCGAAATATGCAGCCTCTGGTGTTGGGTGGAGGATTACGGAGATCTACAAGTCCAGGTGTGAGCATGAAAGGGCTGCGGGACTGGCGTGAGCTTTATTTGGATTCGGTGCACAGCATTTTAAAAGGCTTGGATTTCTAAAAGGCTTGACTGTTAGCAGCGTCCGAGGCCACAGATCCAAACACAGCATATTATGAATGGATTCCCTTTACACAGTTTTTTTTTTTTTTTTTTTTTTTTAACAGGAGGTATCAAGAGGATCTTTACAGTTAGCAGAGTATCTTAGAAGGAATTAAGTTAAAAGCTTGAAGGTTGCCTAAATGAAAAAAAAAAAAACAAAAAAAACACACACACACACACACACACGAGGAAATGGGTGTTTAAGCCATTGGAAATAATAGTCTTGTTTTGTCCAAAGGATCTGGGAATTTTTTCTTTTGCTAGCCTGAAAGATAAGTAAAAAAAGCTATGTTGGTCATATCACACCCCTTCTCTTGAACTCAACTTTGAAAGGCAACAGCCATCTGGAGTCCATTATTGGCAAAGCAACATTAAGCATAAAGAGTTATTCATTTTCTGAGAACTCGAGGCAGGGGGAGTGAACGACAGATTCCTCATATAGAAATTTAGAGAGTAGTGCCACTTTGGTACGCCGCACTGAGGGGTAACCTTGTGCCCAGACGGACACCTTATCCAGCCAGCTACTTAGAATCCAAATTCAAAGCGCTGGGCTAATTTTACATTAGCTCAAAATGTTCTGGTCAAAAGTGACAAATATAGTTCTGGAATATAATGGATTCTTCACATTTACAATATTAGTTTGGTGAATTAACTTAAGTCACTATGCTGTCTTGCAGTTGAGACTGCCTCAGTTTAAGTCACACTATGGTGGTCTGTAATAACAAAATAATTAGACAATTGCATCATAAGTCATAATGCACACCCCATTTCATCATAGAATTGAATATTCCAAGAGTCTTGTGTTTATTTACATGGGCATTTCCACAGAGGGTGGCAGGCTGGAAGGGGAGGGGGGATTGAGTTGCTTCTAAGTAACTCAGTGTGACTTGATAGCACTGGCCTTCCATGGGGCTATATTCAATGACATTCAGGATTGATGATAGTGGAATAGTTATACCGATGATAGTGGAATAGTGGAACCGTCTCGAGTAAATTAAGAACTAGACTAACTTCCTAGGTGTATGACAATGCAAAATACTCCGCAGTAGAAGGATGAGCCTATCCTAAAGTTTTACCCAGAGTCTGTTCTTCATTTTAAGTCAGGCTGAGGCTACGTAAACACTCTCCTTAAAAAGCTGTGTGTCCATGCTAAGTATTAGCAAGCAACACTATCAACTGGGCAGTTTTTCAAGAGTGTTGTGATCACACAACATTATACTCTCCTCTTATCAACCTACTGTGAGTAGCAATAGTGGTAACTTAGTGAGTGTTATTGTGAACAATATTCTAGAAACATCCTAAAACACCTTTCCAACTACAATGCTTAATTCATCCAAGCTGCGCAGTTCAGATTAGGGATGTCAATGATTAATCGACGATCGATTAATTGTCGATAATACATTTAATCGATAAAACTTAGACCATCGATTAAGCAGGATCATGCGCGTGCGTGCTGCTCAACCGCGAAACATGTAAGCGAGCGTGCAGGTGTGGTGAAGCGTTGAGTCCCACTGAATGACACACACCGAAGTTGTTTGGGACTATTTTACATCTTCATCATAACTAAGTTTACGTGTGCATTCGCAGCCTTTTGTTTTGTACAAATGTAAGTTGTAATAGTTTATTTTGTGAAAGCCTATCTAGATCTGATTTATCTCATATTGGATGCATTTGGTTAAGAATTGACATGATCCTTAGCGTGCTCAGCTCAAATGACAATGCACGACTAATAATGACTATTGGGACTGTGATATTACACACGAATATAAAGAGAACAATATTGTAATAAAACATAGTGAATTATTTGGGTTTAGATAGATGCCATGTCGCGTTGTTCCAGGAAGAGCGCGTCCACCACAACATGAGTCATTCTGAATGGCACATTACTTAGTTTAAGTTCACTTGTGCATTCACATCATTTTGTGCAGATATAATTTTGTAATATTATGTTTATTCTCTATATATATAATTAATATCAAAATAGGATGTGTTTTTTTGAGTTAAATAAACGCTAACAAAGAGCTCAACGGTTATTCATTCAGCGTTCACCGCTCTAGCAGAATGCACAACTAATAATAACAATGGTTAATTTGGGACTGTCATATTACATAACATGAGAACACTATTTTATTAAATGGTTGTGAATTCATTGGGTTTAGTTTCCATTTTCAGAGTATGGTTCCAGCACGTCCACAAGTCACACATTCTGACAAGCGTGCATCTGAGGTGGCGTTGGTGACACATTGTTTGTATTTGTAGATATATTTATATATTAAATAATTACATTTATCAACCACATCAAAACATTTTACAATCCTACTAACCCTTTATTTAGATAAAAAAAAAAAAAACATTCTTATTAATTTGGTGAGGAACATAGCTTTTTGAGCAGCATTTACAGACCCTGTTATGCTGTTTGCCATTAATGCTAACGATTAATCAAATAATTGATCGTTAATTTAAACGACGATCAATCATGGGAATTTGTGAAAATTGATATCCCTAGTTCAGATCACAGAATCAACCAGGCAACGATTAAACGGAAACGATTAAAGATGCATTCATGTTCAAGCTCAAGTGCAGTAAGACTTTATGGGTAAAGGGTAAAAAAAAAGCTTAAAAAGCCTCTAGTTCTCTGCAAGAAAATTAAACAAACAGGCCAAAGAAAAAAAAAAAAACAGCTAAGATTCAGACAGCCAATCGGTGACTGAAGATTTTGGTTGTCTAGAAGAAGTTAGTCTAGTTTTGCCACAGCAACTCTTGGAAGATGAAGAGAGGGTCCATGTGCAAGTCTGAACATGCATAGTAAGGTCTTAAATGTGTTGGTCCTGTTTTTCAGTATGCCATGGGATGCAAGGAACCACAGGTTAAGGAGGGAAAAGCAGCTGTCTGGGTTTTGTGGAACAATCTCAGCATGTCTGACCGTAAATATGAACACAATATTGAATGTAACATAAAGCAAATCATTATTTGTCGTTATAATACTTATTAAAGCCACAAATACTTAAATTTATGGGTCTCCTTTGTCGCTTGGGCAGCCAGCCTGGGTTAGCAGTGACACTTCTCATACCCCTTCGTTTGAAGTGTGCTCCCGAAAAATCTTCGTTTGAAGGGCTATCTGGCCCTTCACCCTAGCCCTCCCCCTCCAACCAAAAGAGAATTGGGACAGCCCTACCCCTTCACGTGGACGCGCAAAACGGAGGGGAAGGGGAAAGTGAAGGGGTAAGGGGTAGAATTGGGATTGGCCCTTAATGGCTGCTCCATACCCTGGAAAACATGGTCAAACCGGATCAGCATTCTTTTCGCTAGAGCACTTTTACATTGCCTACTGCACCAGTACTTAAAGGCGATTGTAGTGATTCGTCATGATGCTAAATATAGTGACCGGGAAAAGGCTGTTCAAGCTAAGCCACAGGAACGTGCACTATTTCGCTTAGTGCCACAAACCAGTTCTGCCCTGGTTAGAACCACCACAATCTAACGAGTGCCTTTACCCTGCATAGGGGATGAAGTCTTAAACAGGGCAATAAACCTGGCTGGGCTTTGTCTATCATTTGTTGTCCACCGATGGAGTATATAATGGAGTGTGAGTGTATATTCAACGGCTTACAAAAATTGGAAAATGACAGAGTAGAAAAATGATGCCTGGTCTGATGAGTGGTGACTATAAAGACTCCCCCCTCAGTATCAACTGATTTTCATTTGTTAGTGTCTTATTATGCTAACTGAACTAGTCAAAATAAAAATAAAAAATAAAAAAGACAAGAAAGAAGACATTTAATAAGGTTAGGAAAAAATTATAAAAGGTAAAAAAGTGCCCCCGAAAATGTATTTAAATGTGGCAAATGTATATTCATATTTTTTTATGTACTTTGGCATATATATTGGCTTACTGCTTGGTTAGGGCAAACTGCACATTCTTAACAAAACCCAGCAACAACTCCCTCTCAAGCCCCTTTTCCACCAAAGCATTTTGAGAGCCGGAGCCGGTGCCTGCGCGCGAACCAGTTCTTTGTGTTTCGACAGCCAAAGAACCGGTTCTCGGCCAGGAGAACTGGTTCTCAGCCAGGAGAACTGGTTCCAAAGCGGCACCAACTCTTTGCTGGACTAGAACCGTTCTTTTACCACAACATGCTTACGTCGGGGGCTGGGGCGGGTTTAGATGTGTTCTAAACATCTTTTCTGACCATAATAAAGGATCGCAAAGTCAGGAGAAACATTTGCAGAAACACGATGGAGTCCGCCTTTGTAATTGTTATGCTTGAAGTTGGCGCAAGTGTTTTTATTTTTATTTTTTTTAAATATTATAAGCAAAGAAGAAAACAGTCACAATATAGAATAAATTAATGGAAATAAAAAAGACACAAGACAGGGGTAGCCTACATAACTAATCAGAAAAGATTACATATCAAAGGAAAAGATTAAAAGACTTACATATTTCAATTGTTTTTAAAGCCTTCTTGGTATACGAGATAGAGATAATTCCAAAGTAATGTTGTACTTGCAAGCGTTTCTAGTTAAGA